CATATTCCTCCCGGCTTTTACGGACTTACGGAGATACCCAGAGTCCTCGTCAGGTTGCAACTGGAGTATCAGTGCACAGGCCAACATTTAATAGCATGGTTTTAAGTTTCAAAAATATCATAATCACATAATGTAAAGCACTATAAACATATTGCAGTCAGACCATAACTTATCATAGTTTCATAATGGTGGCATACATAGAGAGATTACTTCAACAACTGTAAACACTTACAGTGCTTGTCGTTCTTTACTTGTATACTTTCAACTTTTGATCTCTTTACTTGCCTGTTTGCTCCCTTTGATGATGATCAACGACTTAAGGAAACACTTCTTGACCTTTGACTACTTTGAATCTTCTTGAATGAACTTCCTTCCTCCTTGAACATACAAGGCCGCAAGCTTAAAGAGAGGAGAAGAGGGATTTTCTTGCTTAGAGATGAAGGGTTCTTTGGTGGAATTATTAGGAAGAAGGACAAAGATCCAGGCTTGTATTTGATCTTGGAACAATTAGGTATTTCTCACTAACACACTCACCATTTCGAAGCATTCATGGACTTCACAAAATGAACTAAACTCTTTGTTCTTTCCTTTGGTAGTGCCGCGGCTATAGAGGGAAAAAGAAGAGACTAAAGCTTGTTCAAATAGGCAACCTAGAAGCCTTGCCATTACTTGATTGCTGGTAGGTTTCGATCACATTAAATGAGAGTAAGGTGGTGATTTGTTGTCATAGGTTAGATTGCTTAATTTAGGGACAAGAACATGATGTCAATTTCCTTGATTAAGGAAATTTAGTGATTGCTTGATTTAAGGAATTGATGATGTGTGACTAATCGTCATTAAAAGTTGCTCCCTTGATTTAAGGGATTGATGAGGTGTGACTAATCGTCATAAAGGTTGCTTCCTTGATTTAAGAAACAGAATTATTTGATTGATTGACATATTGTCATCAATTTTCTTGATTTAGGGAAAGTGATTGACTACTAATCATCATAATCCTAACTTCCTTGTTTAAAGGAATTTGACTGGCTTGACTTAAGGAAATTCGATTTGCATTTAATGGCTTGAAAATCAAATAAAATCAAATTCATTTCCTACACCTAGGCCGCGGATTTTAAATGCTTGGAAGGAAAAGATTTCCTTTAATTTTGGACCATGATTTATTCCTTAAGATTATGGACCTTTAACCTATTAACCTGACCTAATTTGTGCCTATTTTTCCATGATTTTATGACACTTTAAATTGACTTCTTAGAGCTTGTTTTCTCTAGTAAAACCGTGGGCTTCTTGCTTGTAGGGAAAGAATTCTAATTTAATTCCTAGTCATATAGTACTTCTTTAGGTTTATTATGTCATGGCCTTACTTTGGGCTTTAACTTGATTTGGGTTTCATTTACCTTATTGGACTTTACTTTATCATATAGAGCTTTCTTTGTATCACTTGGACTTGTCCACATTAAATGGAATTAAAACTTCCTTTGTTGGGTTATACTTTGATCCATGAATTCATTGGATCCCTAATGCTTATGTCTTTGGTCCATTGGACCCATACTTCTAATTTACTTAATCATAAACTATTTCATCTGAAATGTCTCGTTTATTAATTATCATAATTCTTCATTAATCATGATACAATATTTAGGGTTGTTATATCCTCCCCCACTAATAAAATTTTCGTCCCGAAAATTACTATAACTTGGGGTACTTCTGTCTAATCTCATCTTCTCGCTCCCAAGTTGCTTCTTCGGGAGTCCTTCCTTGCCATTGCACTTTTACCATGGGTATCACCTTGCTGCGAAGCTGCTTCTCTTCTCTATCCAGAATCTTGATTGGTACCACCGGGATCTTCAAATTAGGTCGTACTTCCACTTCATCCGGTAATACAACATGTGAGGGATCGGCTACATATTTCTTCAATTGGCTAACATGAAATACATCGTGAAGATTTGCCAAATTTGGAGGTAATGCCAACTGATAAGCTACCGGCCCCACCCTTTTCAGAATCTGATAAGGACCGATATAACGCGAACTTAACTTTCTTACACCGAGTGCTCTTCCAATACCTGTAATAGGAGAGAGCTTAACAAATACATGTTCCCCTACTTCAAAGTCTAGGGGTCGGTGCTTCAAATCATAATAACTCTTTTGTCTGTCCTGAGCCTTCTGCATCCTGTCACGAATCATCTTTATCTGCTTAGTTGTTTCGTTCACCATATCTGGCCCAAACATTTCTTTATCGCCCACTTCTTCCCAGCATACAGGTGTTCGACACCTTCTTCCATACAGAGCTTCATACGGGGCCATTCCTATACTTGTATGATGACTGTTGTTGTAAGAAAATTCTGCCAAAGGCAGATACTGATCCCAACAACCTTCTCTTTCTAAAGCGCAAGCTCTTAACATGTCTTCCAGTGTCTGTATTGTTCTTTCAGTCTGTCCGTCTGTCTGCGGATGGTACGTCGTACTCAATCGTAATTGAGTTCCGAACGCCTGCTGTAATGAATACCAGAATCGGGATGTAAACTTAGGATCCCGATCACTGATTATCCATCTCTTTCAATGAATTATAGCATGTCCTATGATAAACCCCTAGTTTATCAGGTTTTTCAGCATGAATTAGTATCAATTTGTGTGATTAATTGGATGAAAAAGAGGTTAATGTCCTGGAATTCCCTCAAGTACAAGTTCTGAAAGCTTTGTTGAAAAATTACATTGTTTGTAGGGAAATGAAGCTTAAGGAGTAGCAGAAAGAAAGAAGAAGATTCTGGAGAAAGGGAGAATGCCTAAGTGTTGAGCGCTAAAACGTCCACACAGAACGTTTTAGCGCGCTGCTGCAAACGAAGGACAAAAGTTGCTGGTCTTGGGCGCTAAAACTTCCTGATCAAACGTTTTAGCGCCCTGCTGTTGGAAAGAGACTCTGGTCTCGAACGCTAAAACGTCCAAACCAAGTGTTTTAGCGTTGGAGTCAGTTGGAAGCAGTTGAGCATTCACCAGGCATGGACACTAAAACGTTCAACAGTTCACGTTTTAGCGCCCAAGTTTGTTAAAAGCAGTTGGACATCCGTCAAACATGGACGCTAAAACACCCATTCATGAACGTTTTAGCGCCCATGTTAGTTTTCAGTTATAATTTGTAACACTATAAAAGGCAAGGGCCTTCACATTTGTCATATATCTGATTCTATCTCTCTCTCCCATATCAGATCCTCTGATTTGACTTCTCTCTCTTACTTTCCAAATTCTTTAGGACTTAGTTCTTGTATTAGTTAGTTTCCTATGTAATTGCACTTGAAGATTGAAGACTTACTATCATGACAATGGAGTTTGATCTTTCTTTTTCCTTTGTTTATATTTCAATTATGTCTGAGTAGAGTTCTTTTGTAGTCTGATTCAATGGAACTCAAGTTTGAATTTATGAATGGTTAATTAGATGTCTTGTTTATTTATTATGTGATTTGTATGAAGTTGTCTTGATTAATTCTTCATGTTAAGGAGTAGTGTAGAACAGACATGTTTACATTGTTTCTATATTTTACAACTTCATCATCAGTGTTCTAGTAGTCAAGACATTGATGCTAGGATTCTAGATGTGATCTTAAGACCTTAGTAATTAATGCATGTATTAAGAAAGGAATCACCAAGACATTGGGGTTTCTAATTAATGTGTCTATCAAGGTAGTAAGACATTATATCTTGATGATAAGAAAAAGGTTGATCAACATTACATAGTAGATATTCATCATGGAAATTGGTTCATCCATAAATTCATTCTTAATGGAAATTGACATCTGACTACTTGTTTTAAATTATATTCACACTTTATTTGTTTATCAATTCTTTAATTTTATTCAAATTTAATTTCTGGTGACAAGAAATAAATGCAATTCATAATCTTTTGGTTGATTCAACTTAACAATATTTGGTTAGTCAGTGCTTGACACAATTCCTCGTGGGAACGATCTTTACTCATCATTTTATTACTTGTTTGACTAGTACACTTGCTAATCTGACAACAAGTTTTTGGCGCCGTTGCCGGGGAATTTGTTTTTCAACATTGACAGACACCGTTAGTTGTTAAGATTGAATCTTTTATTTTCAGTATTTTATATTTTTGTTGTATGAATTTTTGTTCCATTTTAATTCTGGTGTATGCAAGGTACTTTTGATTCAACTTCTTTGTTGTTTGACCCAGAGTTAGAAAGGACAATTAGAAGGAACAGGAGGGCAGCCAGAAGAAGGAAATTACTGGAAAGGGAAGAACCAAGTGGTGAACCAAGTACTACAGTACAGGAAGAGAATATGGCAAAAAACCATGTGCAACCACCACAAAGGACATTGGGAGATTACATGACTCCTGCTGTTATTCCACCCATTGGAAGTGTGGTTCGACCTACAGTAGAGTCCAATAATTTCGTATTGAAGCCTGCACTGGTACATTTGGTGCAGAAAGAACAGTTTGCTGGAACAAGTGTAGAGGATCCATACCTGCACATTGAAAATTTCTTGTTGTTAAGTGACACTGTGAAGATTAATAGAGTGTCCAGAGATGCCATTCTTTTGAGGCTTTTTACTCATTCACTGAAGGATGATGCCAGGAGATGGCTACAGTCACTACCACAAGGAAGTATTACAACTTGGGATGACCTGCAGACCATGTTTTTGGCAAGATTCTTTTCAGCATCCAAGAGGGCAAAGTTGAAGGATGAGATTACAGGGTTCAAGCAGAAAGAATTAGAGTCTATCTATGAGGCCTGGGAGAGGTTCAAGACACTCTTGAGGAAATGCCCACAACACGGGATAGAAGTGTGGAATCAAGCAGCAATCTTCCTCCAGGGGTTGACAACCACTACTGGTGGTTCATTGACAACCAAGACTCCTCAGGAAGCCTTGGACATCTTTGAGTCCTTAGCATCTCAGGAGTTTGACAATGCTCCAATGAATGACAGAAGAATGGGAATTTTAAATTGGATGGCTATGATGCTTTATTAGCCAAGAATGACCAGATGCAGCAAGTGCAGAAAATACAACAACAACAAATTGATTCTCTCACTAAGCAGCTTTCTTCTCAGAAGGTTGCTTCTGTGGACACTAATTCTGTGTGTGCCAGTTGTGAGAAAAGCCATGTTACAGATGATTGTGATTGTGGGAGACCTGATGAACAAGCAGAAGTTAATGGAGTATGGTATGACCATAACAACCAGAGGAATTACAACAACCAGGGGCGAAATGTGTATGTGCAACCATGGAAGAACAAGAATCAACACCCAGGGTTCAGTTATAGTTCCAACCATCAGTTGAATCCTCCACTACATCCTCCTCCAACACACTCATCACAGCCAATTGATACTACTGCATGGGAGAAAGCTTTTGCCCAGTTATCAAAGACTACTCAAGATTATATCTAGGGGTCAAATTATTTCAGGGAAGAGACTTCATGCTTTCATGCAGGAGACTAAGACAACATTCAGAAACCAGGAAGCATCCATCCAGAATTTGGAGACACAAATTGGTCAGTTGTCTAGGCAGATAGCTGAAAGGCCACAGGGAAAGTTCCCTGGTGATACTATGGTGAATCCAAAAGAGCACTGCAAGTCCATCATTACAAGAAGTGGGCTTGTGCTCCAACCGGTGAACAAGAAAGTGGATGAGAAGAAAGTGGGAGAAAAGAAAAGTGAGGAGGAAGTTGTTGTTGAAGATGTTGTAGTTGAAAATGATAAAGAAGAGGAAGTTGAGGAAAAGAAGAAGGAAGAAGAGGTAGTGGTTGAAAAGAGTTCTTCACCCAAGAAGTTGATGAAGTGGGAGAAGAAGAAGATGGATGACAAGCAGGACCAAGCCAATTAACCTATCTCCTTATGCTAAAGTGCCTTATCCTCAACGGTTGAAGCAGGAAATCCAGAAGCAGCACTATGCAAGGTTTCTGGATATTTTTAAGAAGTTGCAGATTAACATTCCATTTGCTGAGGCCCTGGAGAACATGCCTCACTATGCCAAATTTATGAAGGATCTTCTGTCTAAGAAGAGGAAATTGAAGGATGGTGAGACAGTGGCTTTGACAGAAGAGTGTAGTGCCCTGATCCAAAAGAAGCTTCCACCAAAATTGAAAGATCCTGGAAGTTTCAGCATCCCTATTGCCATTGGAGATGTGGAAGTAGGGAAGGCACTTTGTGATTTGGGGGCCAGTATAAATCTGATGCCTTTGACTGTATGTAGAGCCTTGGGAATCAACACCCTGAAGGATACTAATCTTATATTGCACCTTGCTGATAGATCCATCAAAAGACCAGAAGGTGTGGTTGAAGATGTTCTGGTCAAGGTGGACAAGTTTATTTTTCCAGTGGATTTTGTTATTCTAGATATGGAAGAAGAAGATACTGAAAGCCCTCTACTGCTAGGGAGGCCATTTTTAGCAACTGCTAGATCCCTGATTGATGTTGAACAGGGAAGCTGATGCTAAGAGTGAATGAAGAGACAATTACAATTGATGTATTTGAAGCCATTAAACATCCTGTTGATGTGGAGGATTGTTTCAGGATTGACATTATACAGGAGTTGTGGAAGAAGTGACAGGAGAAGAGGACCTGTTATTGGAGGAAGACAAAAGTATGGAAGAAATGCGTGGGGAATTTTATCAAGAGGAACCAATAGTTGAAGAGCTTGAAAAGAAGATGGATGACATTCCTAAGGGAACACCTAAGGTGGAACTGAAAGAACTACCTTCAAATTTGAAGTATGTGTTCCTTGGGGATGATGAAACCTACCCAGCCATTATCAATGCATTTTTGTCTAAGGGGAGGAAGTGAAGTTGGTTGAGGTACTCAAGAAGAACAAGACAGCCATGGGCTGGTCATTTTCAGATCTTAAGGGTATCAACCCTTCCTTCTGCACTCACAAGATCTTAATGGAGGAAGAAGTCAAACCAGTGAGGCAATCACAGAGAAGACTCAATCCCACTATGAAGGAGGTAGTGAGGAAGGAGGTGGTGAAGTTGCTTGATGCTGGGATGATTTACCTTATTTCAGACAGTGCTTGGGTGAGTCCAGTTCAAACAGTACCCAAGAAAGGAGGGATGACTGTTGTAAAAAATGAGAATAATGAACTGATCCCTACAAGAACAGTGACTGGCTGGAGGATGTGTATTGACTACCGGAGACTCAACAAAGCAACCGGGAAGGACCATTTCCCTATTCCATTTTTGGACCAGATGCTAGAGAGATTGGCAGAACATGCTTTCTACTGCTTCTTGGATGGATACTCTGGCTATAACCAGATAGCTGTGGCTTCAGAAGATCAGGAAAAGACCGCATTCCCTTGCCCCTATGGAGTCTTTGCATATCGGAGGATGCCTTTTGGGCTATGCAATGCACCAGGAACTTTTCAAAGGTGCATGCTTTCCATATTCTCTAACATGGTAGAAAGATGCATTGAGATTTTCATGGATGATTTTTCTGTGTTTGGTCCTACTTTTGATGCATGTTTACAAAACTTGGATTGTGTTTTGAAAAGATGCCAAGATTGCAATCTTGTGCTAAATTGGGAGAAATGTCACTTTATGTTGACAGAGGGGATTGTTCTGGGACACAAAGTGTCCAACAGAGGGATTGAAGTAGATAAGGCCAAGATCTCTGTTATTGAGAAATTACCCCCTCCCATAAATGTTAAAGGTGTGAGGAGTATTCTAGGACATGCTGGATTTTACCGTCGTTTTATTAAAGACTTTTCAAAAATTGCAAAACCATTGTGCAAGCTGTTAGGGAAAGATCAAGAATTTTTGTTTACTGATGACTGCTTGCTTGCATTCAATGTGTTAAAAGACAAGTTGATCACTGCAACTATAATCATGGCACCTGATTTTTCATTACCTTTTGAGCTTATGTGTGATGCCAGTGATTTTGCTGTGGGAGTAGTGTTAGGTCAAAGGAAGGATAAACTATTGCATGTCATTTACTATGCCCGTAAAATTCTTAATGAGGCACAAAATAATTATGCTACTACAGAGAAAGAGTTATTGGCAATAGTGTATGCATTTGACAAATTCAGGTCATATCTGCTAGGGTCCAAGGTTATTGTTTACACTGACCATGTAGCTTTGAAGTATTTGTTAACAAAGCAGGATGCTAAGCCCAGGTTACTCTGATGGATGTTACTTCTGCAAGAATTTGAAGTAGAAATCAAAGACAAAAAGGGAGTGGAGAACTTGGTGGCTGATCATTTATCTAGGATCATAGAGACACATCTACAAGAGGGACCAGAAGTGGTGATCAAGGAGGAGTTTCCTGATGAACAAATACTGGCCATAAGCACTGTTTCCCAGTTGGTGTATGATCAAGTCTTGTATGTTAACACACTACCATGGTTTGCTGATTTTGCTAACTACAGAGCTGCTGGAGCCATGCCTAAGGATTTCACTTACCAGCAGAGGAAGAAATTTCTACAAGGATGTGAGGAGATACATCTGGGATGAACCATACCTCTTCTATAGATGTTCAGATGGAGTAATCAGAAGATGCATTCCAGAAGAGGAGCAAAAGAGTGTCTTATGGCACTGTCATGGTTCAGCCTATGGTGGTCATTTTGCAGGTGAGAGAACAGCAGCCAAGGTTTTGATGAGTGGCTTTTACTGGCCCATATTGTACAAGGATGCCAGGAAATATGTGGAAGCATGTGACAACTGCCAAAGGACTGGAAACATCTCCAGGAGACATGAAATGCCTTTGAATAATATTCTGGAGGTGGAGATCTTTGATGTCTGGGGTATGGATTTCATGGGACCTTTTCCCTCTTTCTACTCTAACAAGTATATCCTGGTGGCAGTTGATTATGTGTCGAAGTGGGTTGAAGCTATAGCCACACAGACCAATGATGCTAGAGTTGTGATAGCATTCTTGAAGAAAAACATATTTGTGAGATTTGGAGTTCCAAGAGTCATAATAAGTGATGGGGGACCCATTTTGATAACAGGTTTGTTGAAGTTGTTCTTGAAAAGTATGGAGTAAGGCACAAAATAAGTACTCCATACCACCCACAGACTTGTGGTCAGGTTGAGATTTCCAACAGGGAACTTAAAAGAATTCTGGAAAAGATTATTGTTTGGGTATATAGGACAAAATATGCTAGGACTCAATAGTCCAAGAAACTTGATGACACTTTGTGGGTATATAGGACAGCATTCAAGACTCCTATTGGAATGTCTCCATTTCAGTTGTTGTTTGGGAAAGCATGTCATTTGCCTGTGGGGTTGGAGCATAGAGCATTATGGGTTGTCAAATTCTTGAACTTTGATTCCAAAGCTGCAGGTGAGAAAAGGCTACTGCAATTGGATGAACTGGATGAATTCCGTCTGTCTGCTTATGAGAGTGCTAGCCTATACAAGGAGATCACAAAGTATTTGGAAGAGACAGAGGGAAGTATTAAAGACACAAAGTTTCTGAAGGAAAAAGAAAGAAAAATAATTTTTTTTTGTTAAAGACACAAAGTGTCAGGAAGAAAAGGAGGAAGAAAGGTTCAAAGAAAAGAACAAGGAATGAAAAGGAAGAAAGTTGGGGGAATTAGGAAGAAATTGATGAATACTCTGAATTCCCTCTTATCTGAATCTGATTCATTTGATCTGAACTTCCCCTTTTACAAAAATTCTTACCTCTAGTCAAGCCACATACCAAGCCTCATTGCCAATCATACCAAGCCCTTTCTGATCTACCTTATAAATTGTTGTTATTATGAACAGTGAGAAGATAGGCAAGCATATGGCAGTTTGAGTGCAGTGAAGTGAGTGATAAGTACATCCTTAAACACTAGTGTGCAAGAGAGTTAAATTCTCACAACTTTTGAGAAGTTCCTAGTGAGGGGGTGTTTTTGTTTGAAAAGTCTCTGTATATCATCTTTACTGAACTGTTGAAAAGCCACATATGATGTTGGGCAAGTCATAAGAAATAAAAGATTTCATGGTTGTAAGTTGTATCAATGTGATCTGTTGTTAATTGAAGTCCATCCTCATGAGTTTCATTTGTAAAGAATCTTGAATCTTTCTCTATTGTAATATCATCCCTGAGGACATCAATGTCCAAATCTGGGAATTGTGATAAACCCCTAGTTCATCAGGTTTTTCAGCATGAATTAGTATCAATTTGTGTGATTAATTGGATGAAAAAGAGGTTAATGTCCTGGAATTCCCTCAAGTACAAGTTGTGAAAGCTTTGTTGAAAAATTACACTGTCTTGTAGGGAAATGAAGCTTAAGGAGCAGCAGAAAGAAAGAAGATGATTCTGGAGAAAGGGAGAATGCCTAAGTGTTGAGCGCTAAAACGTCCACACAGAACGTTTTAGCGCGCTGCTGCAAACGAAGGACAAAAGTTGCTGGTGCTGAGCGCTAAAACGTTCACACAGAATGTTTTGCAATCTGAGGACAAAAGTTGCTGGTCTTGGGCGCTAAAACTTCCTGATCAAACGTTTTAGCGCCCTGCTGTTGGAAAAAGACTCTGGTCTCGAACGCTAAAACGTCCAAACCAAGTGTTTTAGCGTTGGAGTCAGTTGGAAGCAGTTGAGCATTCACCAGACATGGACGCTAAAACGTTCAACAGTTCACGTTTTAGCGCCCAAGTTAGTTAAAAGCAGTTGGGCATCCGTCAAACATGGACGCTAAAATGCCCATTCAAGAACGTTTTAGCGCCCATGTTAGTTTTCAGTTGTAATTTGTAACAGTATAAAAGGCAAGGGCCTTCACATTTGTCATATCTCTAATTCTATCTTTCTCACCCATATCAGATCCTCTGATCTGACTTCTCTCTCTTACTTTCCAAATTCTTTAGGACTTAGTTCTTGTATTAGTTAGTTTCCTATGTAATTGCACTTGAAGATTGAAAACTTACTATCATGACAATGGAGTTTGATCTTTCTTCTTCCTTTGTTTATATTTCAATTATGTCTGAGTAGAGTTCTTTGTAGTCTGATTCAATGGAACTCAAGTTTGAATTTATGAATGGTTAATTAGATGTCTTGTTTATTTATTATGTGATTTGTATGAAGTTGTCTTGATTAATTCTTCATGTTAAGGAGTAGTGTAGAACATACATGTTTACATTGTTTCTATATTTGACAACTTCATCATCAGTGTTATAGTAGTCAAGACATTGATGCTAGGATTTCTGATGTGATCTTAAGACCTTAGTAATTAATGCATGTATTAAGAAACGAATCACCAAGACATTGGGGTTTCTAATTAATGTGTCTATCAAGGTAGTAAGACATTACATCTTGAAGATAAGAAAAAGGTTGATCAACATTACATAGTAGATATTCATCATGGAAATTGGTTCATCCATAAATTCATTCTTGAGGGAAATTGACATCTGACTACTTGTTTTAAATTATATTCACACTTTATTTGTTTATCAATTCTTTAATTTTATTCAAATTTAATTTCTGGTGACAAGAAATAAATGCAATTCATAATCTTTTGGTTGATTCAACTTAACAATATTTGGTTAGTCAGTGCTTGACACAATTCCTCGTGGGAACGAACTTTACTCACCATTTTTTTTACTTGCTTGACTAGTACACTTGCTAATCTGACAACAGGTCTTCTTGGAGGACTTAAGTCAGCCCTTTTTTCATTAGGTTTTATCATTAATCATCTAATAAAGTTTGTATAGTACTAAACATCAGCCAAGTAGGAAACACATGATAACTCCTAACACCTTATCCCCCTCATTGGTGCGCTTAGGATAGAAAGAGGATTCTGACCAATTGTGTTTGTGTTTAAGTCTTAGTCAGCCTTGCCATCACTTACCACCAATGAAGGGAGAGTA